GCTTTATGCAGTACCCCTAGCCCAGTCTGGCCCACTTCAAGCTCCCTCCTGCTTTATGTCATGACTAGGGGAGCGGTTCCTGTTTTCCTCACTACTTTCGATGCCTCAGACTCACGTTGGGGTGCAGTGAAAGTCACATTGGTAGGATGCGTGGACCAGTCGCTCGTTACACATGTGCGTGTGTGCATGCTTGGTGCTTCTCCACTCGCCTGACTCATGGATGAGCTGAGTGCACACGGCTTGACAAAGCTCTATGTAAGTCCAGCCTTTCCTGGTCACAGCTCCCCCCCAGAAGCCCAAATGTGGGTCCTCCCTGGCTCCCTTCTCCATCTCCTTCAATTTGGCTTGGGGGGCACTCCCACTAATATAGGTTATATTAAATAGGCACATTTATATCCCTTCCCTTTGAGTGAGGTTATTTTTCAAATAACCAAAGCACAACTCATTATTCAAGAAACACTTTGCAAAAAAGAGGATTGCGTGAGAACTATACAATTCAAAATCTATTTTAGAAGGTTTTATGAAAAGCAGGAAATTTGGGCCTGGTAGTGGGGGGAAGGAGGTGCTGCTTTCTTTTCGTGGTAAATGCCTGCGCACCAGGGGTGAGGCGGGGTGGGGTGGGGGTGGGGGGCCGCACAACCAGCCTTTACTAGAACGCGGTGGAAAGCTTTCTAAACACAGCCACTTTTGGCTCCAGACCAGGTGACCCAAGACCAAGCAGCTCCCATCATAAAGGCAAGAATGAAGGTCTGTGTTGCTGGTTCTGAGACGTGTAAGAATCGCAGTAAAGCAAGCAGCTGATTTAGCATCTTGGCCCCTCCCCTGCGGAATTTATCATGGGACAATTGGCCGCCTATGACCTTGGCAAGAGTTTCAATGACAGAATATCACCAGTGTAGTAGGCTGAACAAGATGTATCTGGGATGTGGAGGGTCCCCAAAGCAGCTTTGGAGGAAATGTCTTGAAAATCTAAAGCCATCTGCTGAGTGGAATTCCACCGTGTATCTGTGCCTTGATTTATTTATCCTTTCTACCATTAATGGATGTTGAATTGTTTCTAGTTCTTGGCTATTGCAAAAAAAAAAAAAAAAGTGCTATTATAAATATATAAACTTTTAAGGTTGTAGGTAAAATAGTCGATGGGGACAATCGTATTTGTTAATAATGAGAATTTTGAGGGCTTTTATTCCCTTTAGAAATCTTACAGTTTTCTTTCTTTTCTTTTTTCTTCCTGATTTTAAAAGCCTTCACTGTTTCATCATTAAAAATGTTGTTTGCTATAGGTTTTTGGTAGACTCCTCTTATCAGATGAAGGAAATCCCTTTCTATTTTGTGTTAGTTAAAATTTTTTTTATTGTAAATAAGTATTTTGAATTTCATCAAACGTGTTCTCTGTCTATTGAGTTAACCACACTGTTTTGTTCTTTTAATATGCTAATGTGGTGAATGATAATTACAGGTTATCTGAAGTTAAGCCTCATATTCCTGGAATAAACCTAGCTTAGTCACATCTTGCTATTTCTTTTCATAAAGTATGAGATTCATTCTGCTAATATTCGTATAGGATTATTGCCTTTATGTTCATGAATAAGGCTTTCTTATGATTTTTCTTTATTACATTTTTCTAGTTTTAGTATCAAAAGTATAGTGGACTTAGAATAAGTTGGGGAGTAGTCTTTTTCTTTTTTTCCTCAAATGATTTGCATAAGATTAGAATATGTTCCACGAATGTTCAGTAGATTATACCTGTAAAATCATCTGGCCTGGT